AAAAGGGGCCCCAGCTGCCTTAAAAAATGTGGGCTGCCTCAGGTGGGTACGGTGACTCTCTCAAGTTTGGAGAGGCCGGTTGCGGGTAAGCGCAGTTTTTGTGGTGGTAAACCATGGAATTGCCATGCCATACTGTCAATGGGTCATAGATTCAATCCATTTGCCGAGACTTTGCAATAGACACTCTCCCAGCAATGCAGCATGGGCCTTTGAAGTCCTGTTGAAATTTGACATGGGCAGATACATGGGCATTGGATGGGTATTGGTTTCAACTTGTTACACTTAACTGCAGTGGTAATGGTGTACATTGCATAATTCTATGTAGACACATGCAATCAGATACATTGTTGTTGATTCATACGTACAGTAGATCATACCCCCATCCAACCAATCATAAGCTGTCCATTCTGATCCCAGTTGCCAAAGATTCTTTAGGATGGGTTGGAGGGCATCATTCAGCCATATCTCTCGGCCATGCATTCTCATTCTTGTTGGTAATATCACCGGTTATTCTTGGACCAATTGAAATCACAAGAGAATACCGAGAATAGTACTTTAATGTGAGTGGAGAACCTAAAGGACAGATCAGGAAACAATTTGCTTTAAACCATCTAAACATTCTGGGAAGGTCCCGGACATGTTCCCTTCAAGCAAATCAGGGATACTAGGACACTAGGGTGAAAATCATGGTACACCTCTTACATGACTGGGCTATATGGACCCATGTGCATCTGTTTTGGGTTGGAGATACTTTATTAAGGGCCTAACCACCAACAACCACTGTCTTATAAAACATCTAAATTAGTGCAGGGGCACCAAAGCGGTGGTTGAAGCCCCACGACATATATGGAATATCCTCAGCTATATATTGCTAACATACATGGAATTTCCTCACTTAATATTACCCATAGGATCCATGTATGCTATATATATATATATGGTAACATTTGCCATGAATATACCCCAAATGTTAGCATATATACCATACATGGATACTATGGGTTATGATATATGTTTTTTTTGCCATAGCCGTTTTAGTTCGCGACTTACGTCCGCTGGCCCTACCCTACTGTTCGAAGGATCGAAGGATTATGGAAAAGCAAAATGAGGCGAACAGAGAATTAGTCCACGCAAAGGTGAAACTAAACGCAGGCAATCTGTACAAGACTCTATTAAACAGGAGTTTATGTACATGTATCGTTCTACAAAGGAGTATTGGCAAATAGATATTTGACAATGTTTCCGTCCCTGGCGCATCACGCACAGACGTTTCACACAGAGTTCGTTCACATGATTAAATGATTAACCCCTGATCTCCCTATAATTCAGAATAATGGTATTCCATGGGTATTGGGCAACTGAAAGATGGGATACCATTAATGGTGGTTGTTGTTGTTGTTGTTGTTGTTGTCGTCGTTGTCGTCGTCGTTGTCGTCGTTGTCGTTGTCGTCGTGGTCGTTGTTGTTGTTGTGGCTGTTATCACCTGATTTTCTCGTTGAATCAGTTGAATCTTTTGTTTTACCTACCAACCAACCAACAAGGGCATCTACTGAAAGCAGGACGACCAAGATAGAAGAATACCAATTTGTTTGATTCTGCTAATATCAGAATGATGTAACAATACTATAGTTGAGATATGTTGAGATGAAAAATCCAGTATTGCCAGATTTAACACATTGACTATATTGAACTAGTACCAAACTATTGTAACTAAAACATACTACTGTCCACCATTCTTGCATATGATAAAAAATAGTTATAACATGTTATAACTACAATGTCTAAAACAAAGCATAACTAGAGCTCACCGAACTATAACTATGACTTCCATAATTATAACTATATCTACTGAAAGATTCCAAGACAGCGTCAGGTCACCGCTGCTGCGGTCCCTTTGTGGTCGTCGAAGCTTCGCGGAGCTGGAGGTCCTGCTTGCAGCGCTAACAATGGCGTGGAACATGGTGGTTCATCACCAGAAAAGATGGTGGCACGTATAAAATGGTATTAATACTATCGAACTATTAATGGTGCGTTATACTAGTAAGTTATATGTAATACTTTTTCTAACTATATCAATTGCTAAATATATACTATTAATACTATATACTAAATGGTGTGTTCATGGATAATTGTGCAGTAAAGGGCCTCTACTGGCTACTGGCGTGGTTTCGAACTTCATCTGAGTGGATGTGCGTGGTTGCTCGCTGGTACTAAGATGTACCCTCTGGTAAACGTTTATATATATTATATCAAACTGGAAAATCACCATTGCCAATAGGTAAATCAACTATTTCTATGGACAATTTTCAATAGCAAACTGTTAGTTTACCAGAGGGTACCCATTGCTGTATCCATCCACAATTCAATGGTAATTTCAGGATCCTAAAATGGAGGTACTGTACCATATAAGGCCATATTTTGATATATTTTGTGGATATATTCCCTTACATAGGCCTGAAAAATTGGCCTTATATATGGTAGGTACCTCCAATCAATCGGTTCCCAAAATGGCCATTGAAAAGTTGAATGTGTTCCCGTCGCCCCGTCCGGCCCAGGTCTCCAACTTTCATGTCGCAAGCACCAGGCGCAAAAACCAAAAGATGGGCCAAATCCACCGTAACTCGTAACTTGCCTGGCACATCACGGGTCTCACGGGTATCACAATAACATTGGGGATGTCTATAACTTAACCATTATAAGATAAGTTGGTATTATAGATTAACCATGTTATAAGATTGGGGTTTATAACTATAACTATAATCATAATAAGATTATAACTATAACCAACTATAATCATAATAAGATTATAACTATAACCAACATATATAAACATAATAAGATTATAACTATAACCAACTATAATCATCATAATATTATACCTATAACTATATATCCTGGCATATAACCACTATAACTATAACCAACAAAACCAACAAAACGTGGTGATCTGGACTCTTAAGCCGCGCAGGTTTTGGGAAGCTGTTCTTCTTCCCTGCGCCGTGGTGGTGGTGCTTCCGGCAAAGTGTTTCTATACCTGGTCTCAGGCCCCAAAGGCAATAGTTCAATAGGCGATTTGGGTATGTTTATGACGGCTAAGAGATTCCCCGAAGTTGTTCGCTATGAGTGGAGTTGTCACTGTCCCTCCATGATGGTGGCCAAGTCGCCAAGACTTTTTGCTGGCAGTTCCCACAGGGGATGTTTAAAACGGGTACCCCAAATTTGGTATTTACTATCTGGTAATTTGTTACCTCGCTATTGAAAATAGCCCATTTATAGTTGATTTACCTAGTAAAAATGGTGATTTTCCATAGTTATGTAAACGTTTACCAGAGGGTATGTAATGAATTAGTTCACTAATTAGATGTGTTTCGTCATTTTCTTATTAAATATATATATATATATACATATATACAAATATAAAACCATTGCCATTTCGTCAGAAATGGGACAAAGTTGGGCCAGGTAGTGGCTTTCTCCTCATGTTTAGAGCTGTGGATCGGACAGTGCCTGGCATTCTCAATGGAACGTGGGAATGGAACGGCGCATACTGGAGAAGCTATACTATAGTGATATATATATATAATCATTGGATATCATTATTAGATAGTATTTTACTAGATATATTAGATATGATTATTATAGTGATATATATATATAATTATTAGATATATCATGCACTCTATTTACTGATACTCATCCCAGTGTCGGGTCTGGAATGTTGGTGTTCAAGTCTTGTTCTATGCGTTGGATCAATCCATCGGACAGCCGATTGGCTCAAACAGAAGGGCTACACTCTGAGTGAAGGGAAGTGCCATTTACATCCATTTACCTGAATGGTTTATGATGGTTTGTGATGGTTATATATTTGGTTTATATATTTGGAGACATGAATGGTTTATGATGGTTTATGATGGTTTATATATTTGGAGACATGGGGATATATACATATATATTTCTTGCATTTCTACCTTAAAAGTGTCTCATTAAATTTATAGAATTCCTACACCTTCTGAACAGGTATCTTAACCCCCCATGCCTGCCTCCACCTTCGAAGGTACTTGGAAGTCTCGGGAATTGACATGATCACGGAACCCCACCTAGACCCTCGAAGTACCCAAGAAAAGGTGCAGAAGCCCCAAAACAACGGGTATAATGGTGTAGTCTACCAATTTTCCAGGAACCTGAAGGGTCTAAGTCTAAGTATAAAATAGTATCTCTCTCTCTCTCTCTATATATATATATACATAGATAGATAGATAGATAGATAGATAGATCGATCGATAGATAGATAGTTAGATAGATAGATAGATATATGGATGGATGGATGGATGGACGGACGGATGGATGGATGGATAGATAGATAGGTAGATAGATAGATAGATAGATCGATAGATAGATAGATTAGATAGATAAAATAGATTAGATAGATAATATAGATTAGATAGATAATATAGATTAGACATATTATATAGATTAGATAGATGATATAGATTAGATAGATAATATAGATTAGATATATAATTTAGATTAGATATATAATATAGGTTAGATAGATAGATAGATAGATAGAGAGATAGATAGATAGATAGATGGATAGATGGATAGATGGATAGATGGATAGATGCATAGATGCATAGATGGATAGATGGATAGATGAATAGATGGATAGATGGATAGATGGATAGATGGATAGATGGATAGATAGATAGATAGATAGATAGTTGGATGGATGGATGGATAGATGCATAGATGGATAGATGGATAGATGGATAGATGGATAGATGGATAGACGGATAGACGGATAGATGGATAGATGGATAGATGGATAGATGGATAGATGGATAGATGGATAGATAGATGGATAGATAGATAGATAGATAGATAAAGAGAGAGCGAGAGAGATCGAGAGAGACGGAATACATATATATATATACGTATGTATGTATATATATATTTATCAGACCTTATGTTGGGGATTAGTTGTTATCCAAGAAACATCCATGCCTCCTCTTAGGTGCGTGTCCCTTGCGTGCTGGCGCTGCTTCCATGTATTTTTTTTCCGATTATCCGATTGCGGCCTCGTCGATGGAAAAGCCACCAGACATGATGTGTTTATTTGGCAAACCATGAGTTGTCCATACCTATGTAGTACTATGTGGGACTTTACTGGAGGATACGATTTCTTTGAATCTTTCTGGATACATCTAGATATCATCAAGTCAATACCATTTAGAACATGTTTTTCTCCCGCTGCCTCCGGCATGGCAGGTACGCCGTGAACTACTACGCTATGGGGTACACCGTACAGGCCGACCATGCACATCGCATTAAGATGGGACTGGCCCCACCGTGGCGTGAGATGCAACGGACAGATGCAACAGGTACCAAGCTCCCAAGGGGTGTTTAAGAGATTTCAATCGCATGTCCAACATATATATGTACTTGCAGAGAGAATATCTCTTGGTCTTGGCATTCTCAAAATCTAACGCATCAGTGACTGGGTGAGATATGTGAGATCATCATGTGGAATGTTGGAAACAAAGACGATGTTTCTCGGAAATCACCAAAGTTCCTGGAACGATCTTCCAGGTACCCTCTGGTAAACTAACATAACTATGAAAAATCACCATTTTCAATGGGAAAATCCACTATAAATGGTCATGTTCAATAGCTATTTTGACATAACCAGAGGGTACAGCATGGTACAGCTTTCTCATGGCGGCGCGAGGTGCTTCATCCCCAGAACCACAGCGAGTGCGGACGCCTTTGGCTCTCACCCTTTGGTGTGGCAGCCCAGCGAAACGCCGCAAAAAATTGGCACCTTTTGTGATTGGGGGATGGTGGGCAATTTGCTCCATGGTGCTGGAATATGAATCCCAACATTTGCCCTAAAAATCAGCCACATGTAATCACATGTAGGTAAATATACCAGCACCATGGAGCATATGGGTGGGGGTTACCAGGATTTGAAAAACAATCACAACAACAATATCAACACTAGATGTCCATCCTAGGATTCCACTGATATTTCGCCGCCCAGGTGGCGGGGTACAGCTGGCTCTCTGGAGTGTGGGATCTGCGGTGCTGGAAGTGTTCTTGTGCATGTGCCCAGCTGCGGAAGCAAAAGGGCAGCCAGGATTGCATGATTTTTTTCGGTGGAAAAATCATGAAATATGATGAATGTTAATGATTAGATGTCTGAACTCCCAGGATGCTTGATACATTTTGTCCAAATCATCTTATATCCATCATCTGTATTCGTTTGTATATGTTGATTTGTCTGAAAATAGGGTTGCCAAAATCCATTGTTTCCCATTAAAAGGGCAATTCAGAGGTATCTCCATTTCTGGAGCAATTTATGATCTTGCTGTCCCATTTGTGTTAATGAATTGCATAGAATGTGCTAGTTAAATCACGTTAAATCCACATTGAAATTCTGCATGATTTGTTGATTTGGGGTTGTCTCAAAATAATGCTAACTACCCTAAACTCCCATGGCTAATCATAGTCCTTCGTGCCATATTTATGGGTATCCACATTCTTAGACACTACCATTTTCTGCAAGGCTCATCGTTTAGCAGCTCAGGTTGCATAGCCTTCCATCTCCCTCAGTCGCACACATGGTGGGCACCGTGCTCTACGCCACTTGTGCTCGGACACCGAGCCGACTTCGAGATTTTGGTCCTGAGTTGGTACGTTGCACAACGTTGCACTGGGGCCACTGGGTATGTTTGGGTTACGAGATCTAGCCAGGTTTGTTGGGTCTCAGGGCTGTTAGATATGTTGATATTATTTACCCAGTGTATGACTGAGTTACTGAGTTATTTGATGTCTTTTCTTAGCTATGAATTCAGGGATAGAATGCCAAATGTGTTTTCTGATTGAAGGGTATCTAAGATTAGCCACGAGTGATGAGTGTTTCTGGGCTTATCCCCCCTACCACTCAAAGAATACTCATACTCGAGATTTCAAGGCTGGCTGTGTCTATGGTAGAAACAGATCGTCTCAAAACCCAAAGATATAGAAACAGTACCCCCGTTTCTTAATGAAGCTCTCCAGATATCCCCTGGTTAGTCCTAAAAGGTGAACACCCTTAGTCATGTTGCTTCATAACCCCCCTATGAATGCTATACTTCTATCCACAAAGCATAGTTAAGCATAAGTTATGTTTGTCAACTTAGTTGCCATACATCAGCTGCATATATCCCATTAAATCATGGTAACATGTTATTAAATGATAGTAAATAATATTAAATGCTCCCCCCAAAAAAAAGTTAGATCGTTTTTATCCTGGGGCCTCACTTGTGCAGGGCTGTCTCTGGTTGCACCTCTGGATCGCGCCAGTGAGCCCAGATCCTGCCATCTGTCGACGTTTTCACATCGTTTCTGTGGAAGTTGGGTAATGTTGGGTATATCTTCAGGATTTCTTGTGTATACAGTAATTTAATGAATTATGATAATTATGAATATATCCGAAAGTGATCACACCAAAAGATTCGAAGATAATATAATCTATATATATATACATTACATATAGATATCGAAGATAATAATATATATATACATTACATATAGATATGATTATATAATTAGTACATATATGGTGAATTTCCATCAGTTTTTTTTTGTACTATATACTAGTTATAATCATATTTATGTATATAATATTTTTTCAATATGATTCTATATAGTACATATATATATATATAGCTACAGTACATGACATAATTATTTCTGGTTCTATCCATGAATCTTGAAAAACCCTTACCACGCTCTGCGAATCGCAGCTTGGTGCAGGCCCTGGCGTTGCGTCCCTGAAGGCGCGATGATAGGATTGGTCTCGATCCCAAGGCAAAAGAACAGTGAATCATGGTGAATCAATGGTGAATCAATGGTGAATAGTGATGAATAATGGGATATATTAATGGGGAATACTGTTTAATAGTAGTTAATACTGTTTGATATTGGTGAATACTGTTTTATAGTGATTAATAGTGGTTAACAGCAGTTAAATCGTTGATCATTATGGATGATTTTTGATTTTCATTGGGATATACTGATATTTATGGAGAAAAAATAAAGGATCGAATCGGGGATAATGGGATCTTGGGCTGTGGAATTATCATGAAGATCAACATCTCGGGAATTTCTTACACTTTGCGAACTAGAAGCCATGGCCCATCTAGTTCGTTGATTTACCTTTTAAAAGCCATATGCAACCCATGGTGCTGGAATATGAATCCCAACATTTGCCCTTGTCCAAAATCACCAAGTTTTGTAGGTAAATATACCATACATGGAGCATATGGGAAAGTTGGTGGTTGGTTTACCAGAGAGTACATGGGATGATTGAGACACCCTGTCTCCCTTGATAAAGACGCTTCAGCCAGGCTGGCGGCAAATGCTGAGGCCCAAAGTGGTTGATGTGTCGATCGCTGGGTCAAAAGCCTGGTATCCAACGGTACCCTAAAATAGCTAGATTCAGCTGGATAATGGATGGTTATCGCCCTCCAAAAATATGTTAATTTCATAGGTTTTGGCCCATCCTCATATGGGATCTGACTTTTGAATGCACCTCAAATTTCATTGGCCTGTGAAACAGGTCAAAGCTGTGTTATGAAATCACAAGCCTATAGTATCAAATTCTGAGTTTTGCTTGTGTCAACATGTTGAATTACGGTCTTGTGGGATAGAATGCTTCATGTGACTTGTTTGTGCCATCAATTGTTCACCACATCTTGCTGTCTGACAGCAAAAGTAAGAGAACTCGGCTTGTAGGTGGAATCAAAGTTGGGTAAGCATCTAAGACATTTATTCATGCTGATTGTCTTATTTGTCGCAACTTTGGGTTTTTACCGCACAAGATCTTCGACCCCCAGTGGCTCAAAACATGACCACAGCGTCGTCTCCCCTTGAGGCGTTGGGAGGATCGACGGAAGGAGAAGCGTTGCTTGGTGTACCAGGATGGGATGGTCGTGAAACCCCGGACAAATATATACATAATATATATAATATGTATGTATGTATATATACATATACATATTTACACACACATATATATATATATATAAGCTGACTGTGTTCCCCCAACATTCCGAATGAAACGAGACATGGCCATCTCGGAGTGAAGCGCAGATTTTTCACATCGCAGATCCGCAGATTTCACGGCGTGTCAGGTGACGTTTCGCTGGCGGGGAGACTGTCAAATCAACGGACAGGGCCGAGCAAAATCCACAAAAGTTACAATGTGAGGCCCCCAAGATAGCTAAGTTGGTGAACATAACTCCATTAACTATGGTTTATGGTACTTATAACGAACCAGTTGCTGGGGCTTTTGTTAACCAACTAACATCACTGGGGGGCCTCACATTGTAGGTGATTTTTTGTGATATCATAATGATGATCAGTGATAGGGGAAGTCCCCAGAATCACAAAAAGAATCACTCAGAATCACTCAGACTTTCAGGTGATTATGAGCAAGATAAATGATACATTTTATTCGAGAACATCATGAAATGGACCCAACAAACCTGAGGGGATACAACTGGGATACAAACGTGTCGCCCCTGCATTTGAGGTTCTCAAGCAGAGGACCCAGAGTTGAGGGAGGGGGTCATTATCCGTATCCGGTTCAAAGGGCGGTCAGTCGAGGTCCTTTCTCCTGGTGTTGTCTTAGATCCGACCTTTTCAAAGATTCTAAAGGGGCATGGAATCATGTATTCTTGCCGACTGACGTCAACAAGTGTCAAAAGACTATGAACCTATCTGGGCTGCCGGGCTGCCGCACAGCTTAAAGCCAAGATGACTCAAGATGTCAAGAGGTGATGAGAATGAAGCGAAGCTTCTTTTCGACATGGTGATCGATCTAAAGGTCCTTGTAAGGAGTTTTAATTGCGAAAGCCGTGCATGTTATGATACAATTTGTTATGTTATGATACATTGAATATACATTGTATGTCATACGGTTGTGGTACACAATTTGTTGATAGCTCTGTTTCTGAATGGTTCTTTAGCCACAGGGAGATATTCCATGGTTCTATGCCCAGTTAATCCCACAGCAGTACTGAAACTGTTTCGCTGTGTATCCAATGACTTTGTATGTCGGTATATCTACGTTACATACCCATACTTATCTCAATTTGCTGCAAATGTTTTGTCCCTGTCAGGTATTGAATTTGGAGAGACTTGGAGATTACAATTGACGATGCAAAATGGAAGAATGACAACCATCTCACCCATCAAACAGGACATTTGTGGATGCCAGGATATTGTGGCTGGTCGCGGTCAACAAAATCTGACACTGACCCAGTAAATACATGTAATATAATCATGGTTTACCCAGCACATGTGGGAGAGCATTTTGCTCAGAGGCTTCCAGTTTCAATCCGTTTGGCTGCGAAATCCCGGACTCCTGTCCAGGAACCGGTGCACGAGAGCCCGTGGGGACACTTGGAGCTTTTTGGGCGCTTGCAAATCCATGGACTTTCGTATATTTTTTCTGAAATGTCGTGAAACCATCCATGTTTTTTCGTACATCATGATAAATTTCCATGATTATTGTAGTGAAACCTTCCAACTTGCTGGGTAAACCATGGTAAATGCCACATTTTTTGTAGTGAAACGACAATTTTCCATCATTTTTCCACATGTTTTGTAGTGAAACAGCCATTTGTCCCCTGTTTTTGTAGGGAAACAGCCATGTGTTGGGGGACTCCGAAGCCCATGTAATGGTCTCCGCTTGGCCAGGCGCCGGCGCGATGCGGCGCTGGCGGCTGGCTGGCGCCGGTCCACTGAAGAAGGCGCCGGCGGTTCTCGGGTTCACCATGGTTCTCAAAGCAAAAATTGGGGTTACCCTCTGGTGATTTAACATAGCCATGGAAAATGGATGAAAATGGCCCATAGAAATAGATGGTTTACCTATTAATAGCATGGTGATTTTCCATGGCGAACTGTTAAATAACCAGATGGTAACAGTTATAGCCCCATATGCTCCATGGTGCTGGAATATTTAATTACCAACACTTGCCCGAACAAAATCACCCACATGTAGGTAAATATACCACAATATACCAGCACCATGGAGCATATGGGTAGTGATAAGATTGATTTATAATCAACATCAATGTTTATGAATGGTTGTGTCAGAAGGGGTGATGATCCCCACCGGCTAATGATGCCTCCATCATTACACATTTATATAACAATTTATTAATATAACTTAATTTACATATAACATTACTTATATAACACCAATGCATATGTATATATATATATATTATTATATTTATATTTATATATATATATATACAATATGATATTGCCTGTGTGAAGCCCAGTTGTGTCTAGCCATTGGACTTGTGCCAGGTAGCTTAGCCGGGCATGCGGCCTTTGCCATTGCAGGGTACCGGTCGATTGCCTGTGGGCAGAGTTGCAGGGTTCATCGACCAACGCGTTGGAAGGTGTTGGAAGCAAGAATCAAAACAAGGTGATGCCCCATAAGTTTGCTTAACTTGGTTGTTATCCTTTTTTTGAGTCGCTTATCCAAGGTTTATGGTAGATATATCATGATATATCTATAGTTTTTCTATGGTAAAATTGGTTTTCGAGCCAACTTATAGCTGGGGGGGGGGCACGGCTTCGTAGGGGTTCAATCATGAAGCAACAAGAAGGATCAAGAAGGATCAAGAAGGTGTTTACCTTGTGCATACATTCAGAACGACAGTTGCATTGCAGCCCGAACTTGTTGTACAGCTGGCCGACTTGGTGTTGAGCCATGCACATGGGGTGACAGCCCTCACTACCAATCCTATTCATCTATCATCGGGATTGCACCGTCACTTCACCTTGAATGAGCGCATGTGATCTTTGGGATTACTATTGATTGTACGGTACTCCTACATATGTTAGAAGCAAGGCGCGGTTGTTTTGTCTAGTGCGGACAGTAGATCCTCAGTAATTATTGTTGGCAAACCCAAGCAGTAAACCCACCATTTGGGGATGTTTTTTTTCCAACATTTGCGGTGATATTGGGGATATGGTTTAATAATTGGGGTTTACCATGGTTTACATTTGGTCAAATTCTCCAATTGAGATGCGTTCTCAGTTTGGTCTTCCGCAGGGTCCTTGCTTCCGACGTCGTTTTGGCTCAGTGAAGCGACAGTACGTCGTGGAACAGGACCCAACGAGGAACCAACGTCTATTGGTCGTCGCCGTTGGCAGATTTGGACAGGTGGGGGTGAGTTGGAGTTTTCCAACGTGGGGTTGATAGCCAATTGGCCAATCTTAGAACAAAACAATATTACTGCTATAATAATATATACTGCGTGGTGGTTTGGAACATTTTATATTTTCCATAATTATTGGGAATTTCATAACCCCAACTGACTTTAATATTTTTTAGAGGAGTTGAAACCACCAACCAAATATATGTATATATACAGTAAATATAATTATGTAAATGATGTAGTTAATGTACTGCACTTATTTCCCCAAGACATGTTGTGCTCAGAAACTCTAGGGGATGGGATGGTTGAGAGGATAAAAAAGAAACCAACATTGGAATACCCGGCCTGGTAAACGTTTACATAACGAACTAGAAAATCACCCTTTTTTATGGGTAAATCAACTATAAATTACCATTTTCAATAGCTATGTTAAATTACCAGCGGGTATCTTCAACTTGACATTGTTTGATCTTTTGGAGACCCCTTGGTGGCATCCGAATTTGCTTGTACGGTGGCATCAGCTTGATGTCCAAGTTCTATGTCGATGGCGTCCGAAAAACATGAAACAGTTTCACAACTGACTTTTCTTGTATAGTCCTTACTTGAGGTTGTTTGGGGTCCCTTGGCTGACGTTGCCAACAAAAAAAGCCCTCGCGTTTTACCAAAACGCCTTAAATTGCTGCTGGTCCCCGCTGTGAAATCTTTTTGGACGATCATCCAAAAAGGATGGAGATTTGCCGTAGGAATCTCCCATTTACGAGAAGACCATCCGAACATGGAGATAACTATAACCCATAAGATCCATGGTGCTGCTATATATATATATATATGCTAACATGACTGGGGTATATTGATGGTAAATGTGACCATGTATAGCATACATGGATCCTATTGGTAATCAAACATGGCTTAAACCAGAAAAAAAACGGAACAAAACACATCTTGCCGGCACCAGGCCAGCAATGACTTCGACCATGTTTAAGGCCTTACGAGTGGCGGGTATCGGATTCCATCCGATTTGTTCAAACAGAACCATTCGAAAGGTGGTTCCAAATGTGTTTAATCACTGGGTCAACCGACTGGTTAGATACTTTAGAGTACTGTAACCTTTTGCTAATAGGATGATAACATGTACTGATTAACCAGCTAAACAACAGCTGTTGGCAGGGCAGGTATCCAAGATTCACCATGATAATCGCGGGATGCGGTTACTCAGGAACTGGTTACCTAGAGACTATAGTAACATATAGTAACTATAGTATCTAACATGATCTAACTGGTTTACCATGGTTTACCGGTTTACCTGGTTGCTGAGCGCTTACTCATAAGAGGTTGCTAAGCGTTTCAGGGGATTGATGTTGGTTGAGAATATACCATCTGCAACACTGGAAGTATCTATTGGGACAGTCTTTCTGACATAATTGTTCTGACATTCTTTCTGGCATCATGCTGACATTCTATTCTGCCATTCTATTTGACATGCTATTCTGGCATTCTATACCGTATCTGGCATCAATTCTGCCATTCTATTTGACACTCTATTCTGGCCTTCTATTTGGCTTTCTATCTATTTGACATGCTATTGTGGCATTCTATACTGTATCTGGCATCAATTCTGCTATTCTATTTGACACTCTATTCTGGCATTCTATTTGGCGTTCTATACTGTATATGGCATTTATTCTGACATTCTATTCTGCCATTCTATCTGACATGCTATTGTGGCATTCTATACTGTATCTGGCATCAATTCTGCCATTCTATTTGACACTCTATTCTGGCATTCTATTTGGCGTTCTATACTGTATATGGCATTTATTCTGACATTCTATTCTGCCATTCTATCTGACATGCTATTGTGGCATTCTATACTGTATCTGGCATCAATTCTGCCATTCTATTTGACACTCTATTCTGGCATTCTATTTGGCGTTCTATACTGTATATGGCATTTATTCTGACATTCTATTCTGCCATTCTATCTGACATGCTATTGTGGCATTCTATACTGTATCTGGCATCAATTCTGCCATTCTATTTGACACTCTATTCTGGCATTCTATTTGGCGTTCTATACTGTATATGGCATTTATTCTGACATTCTATTCTGCCATTCTATCTGACATTCTTTTCTGGCATTGTATCGGGCATTCTATCTGGCATTTATTCTGACGTTCTCTCTGACATGAACACTGCCGGACCTCAGCGCCCACTGAGATCTGGAGCCCGCTGTTGAGATCCAGCAGTGCTCACTGACATTTGGAGCTCGCGGTTGATGTCCGGCGGTGCCGACTGCGATCCGGAGCTCGCAAGATCCGAGGCTGCCGGAGGAGAAAGAAGAAGATGGAGAAGGAGGAAGCGACTGAAGCGACTCTGATAAAATCTAGAATCTAGAGGCCCTCACCTGGCAGGTTGGAAACATCAACATGCACCAAGACAGTGAACTTCGTTCCATCTCAGGATTGAGGATGCCAGTACTAGTATAAGAATCAGAAGCCCTTTCGACTTCTTGGAAATATTGGACATGTTCACCTGGACTGGTTGAAGAGAAGAAGGTGCACTCCGACACTCCCCTTTCTTTCACATCTTCATGGCAGGTACATGGATGTATGCCAAAAACATTCCTTTCCCCAAAAAAAACATATAATCATAAATCGATTGGTGACTATGTATCACCAAGTACCAGTGATTCGTTGGTTTAAGGGTTATAAAAGTCATACTCCCATTCGAGGATATCATAGGCTCCAAGTTTCCATAGTTTTTGGTCTTTGGTGAATAATGGCAGTTCAATCCACTTTAGTTTCTATTTTCACTGTATTTGAGCTGGTGGAATCCAACAAAATGAAGGACATCATCTTACTGGTGCGTTTAACGCAGGGAATTTTCGGGAATGATGCATTTCATCACATTAGTTTCATGTCATCATCCCAGCAACCCCATCATCATCCCATCCAGCAACCCTACGTAGTTTAGCACACACCAGTAAGTCATTGAATCATTGGCATCAAATACCATCTGGTAATTTAACATAGCTATGGAAAATCATCATTTTCAATGGGTAAATCCACTATAAATGGTCATTTTCAATAGCTACGTTAAATTACCAGAGGGTACCACCATTGGAGGTGGTTGAATCCTCATGTATTTCCCCAGGTGCTGACGTCCCATGTCCAGGTGGTGGTGGGAGCTTTGGCTGTACAGACGTCCTGGAACTCAGCGCGGTCATAGTGAGTCGTAGTGGCTGGGGCTGGAAGATGTAGCCTCTGGTAATGGGTCATGGGGTTTTCCACAAACACCAGAGGATTCACTGGATTTGAATGGAGTGAATGGAGTGTTGAATTCAACTGTTTTAATCGTAGTGTTTGGTTTGAATGGGGAATTCAACTGATGAAAAACATCGACTTTGATGGGATTGAGTGGAATCTTAACAGTCTTAACATGATTTAACCAACAGAAATGGGGATGATGCCCTGTGTGGTATAGTTAATCAGTTTGCGAACTGTAAACCATGGCCCATTTAGTTCGATGATTCACCTATTAGCAATGGCGATGTTCCATAGCTATGTTGAAATACCAGAGGGTAAAAGCAACAGATCCAAAATCTTGTGGTGGTTTCCACATGCAAAAAAACTGCAACATGGAGATGCCTGGAGCATCCAAATTTTCACGTGAAACAGTGACACATGATTGAACTTGATTGAACACAGACATATGTTCTCTTGGATGGTAGCATGTTGTTACCTTTACTGTTGTTGTTGGTTCTGTATTGATCTATGTTGCGTGTCAAAGTTGTTGTTTCTTGGGATATGCCCCTGCAGTCGATTGTCAAGGTTACAGGAATTCTGATTTTGGGCGATGAACCAAGATTATATATAATTATATAATATTATATATATATTATGTATACAATATATATATATATATTGTAATATACCCCAATCCTCGATGTACCCAACAAATGTATACTTCACTACCAGAGATGTTTACAGATAGATTGATTTATATAAATACCATATGCCATATGCTCTACATAATATATATATATATCCATTTGGTTCATGATTTCATGTTTGTCGTTTTCTCTTTCCATTTTGATTTAGTCGCATTAAGCAAGAGTGAATCACGTGCCAGCTGTGTGGACTGTGCCCCTCTTTCTTCTTACCTGCGGCCATGTTTTTAGTGCAGACATTCAACCAGGAACCACTTGTAAGTACCTTGAGCATCCTTGAGCCTCAAAGCACCCATATTACATTGGTAAAAGAACATGTTGTTGGCCAACATGTCCAGGTGGCTGGAGCACGGCTCTAGGTAGTTGAGGTTACATCATGATATGGAGGTTTCCCGCAAATCATCCAAAGTAAGACCATTTCAGTATCTTTTAGTATTGAAACCCATGGTTTTTGAGATCCCCTTTTAAGAAATCCCTCATATGATCCATCCTCAGCCACTGCAAGTTGGCCGTGCGCGTCGTGTCAAGGTCAGCACAAGAGATGATGCCTGGAAGACCCAGCGATTTTTACCTCCACTTATTACGTGTCCATTGCCACGTTTGACACCCGATGGTTTTTCGGTGAACTCTTTTTTTGCTTATTTTTGAGCCTGGCTTAGCCTGGATGTGCCATTCGCAGCATGTCACTTCCAAAGCGGCAGAATTGTCCTGCTCCTTTAAGGGCATAGGGATGTTTGATTCTGTTCCAACAGTGTTTTACTGGACAGTCAATATTTGAAGCCCTCAACAATTTGATCTATCCATGAGTCAGTACAATCCATCAGTTGTTTATTTTTTGCTATTGCTGCGAAATTATTGCTGACCTGAAGCTGGTGATATCATGTGTTTTATACTGTTTTACATGTTTCACAGATGCTATTAGTATGTTGCAGAACATTGCAAAACAATTGGTTGATCATTGGGTGAACTTTGGTTGACAAGGTCAAGACGTTTTGTGTCATTACTCCCAATAAAAAGAAAGATGACACCAGCCAAGACTAGTATGTTCAGCAAGGTTCTCAGGTTGACTACGCCAATTATGACGTTGGTTCTTATGTTTCTGAAAGGACCCGGAGGTTGGTTATTGCATCATCAATTAAAAAACTCCCATCTTTGAATTTATGTCATGTGTCCATGAACTGTTGGGTTTGATTTTGTTGGCATTCCCGGGGACCATGTGGTGAAATCTAGCGCATGATATGTGGTTGTTTTGGCGCTTTTGTTATTTGTCATTGTTATTGGGTTCATTTGGTCATATGGGTATGGATCAATACCTATTAATACCATTTTTAGTGGGATGAACATTTATTTACCAGCTATTTTGATGTGAACTACAGGGGTACTATTGGTTTTGACACACTGCCATATTGTGTAACCGTATGTTTTATTCAGGTTCGGTTGAGTTTTGGTCACGTTTCCGGAAACTCGGAAAGTCGAAGCTAGCGTTAAGGTTGGGCCAGCCTGCCCATGTGCAAGTGAGTTCCATGTCAGTGAAGAGCCCAGCGATGGAGAGCCAACGGCTGGGCAGATGTTGTGTATGCCTTTAGAGTCCCCCTTGATAACTATAATCAACCTATAAACAGAAATGATCAGATCATACAGATTACTATAATTGATCATTCACATCAGAAATGATTACTATAATTATTTCTGAAGTATAAGGGTGATGCTCTAAAAAATCTGCATTCTTAGTCTAGATTCGCATTGTATCTCTGAATCGGATGAAGGGACCGTTTCTGGAAACGCTGGAAAAAAAACAATGTTGCTTTCCTGTCAACTTTCCGGTAAAACCATCCAATGATTATCAAGTTTGGTGATCAAATCCCTGTTTTGAATGATCAAATGTCATTGAATCCCAGCTTTTTGGTGGCTACATAGCATCAAACTGTCATACGATTGATCTCACATCCGCAATGTTGATGTTAGAATCAATGGATTGGCTTAAGGGAAAATCTTCACCGGAAACCAGAGATTTTCCCTTAAGGAAATATGGGGGGTTCCGGATATTTTTTTCTCTTAAACCAATCTGACAAAACCACAATGGTTTTCTTCGCTTTTCTGCAGGCTATGGGACCAGACGGCCTGATGCATACCTCGGTCCACAAGGCCTATGGGTGGCGGCACCTGGTAATTTTTTTTGGTTAGAAATGCTATTGATTGGTGGTTATATCACCTATAGTTTAGTGATCATAATTAGATGATCGTAATTGAATATCACCTTGGATTTTCGGATTTTCGTATGACCCGTGATAGGAAAAATCCTATTGCCCAAGCATGGAGCATATTTTGTGGCTTTCCCGTGTAGATGCACTGGGCCCCAGGTCCTCATACAATGTGGGGATTCGATGGAGAATGTGGAGAGCCTCCGAAGTCCGAAGTGATTCGTTGGTAAGCATGGTTGTATGATTGCAACTGCCCCAATGAAGGGACTCTCATAGTCATATTTTGTATTATTTTGTATTATTTCGTTGCTTTGAAACCCACATTGTTGTACTATGTTGTACTTGAATTGTGGTAATCTAAGGTTGGAAAGGCCGGATTTCCCAAAGTTGGATGGCGCGTGTATCCCAACTATCGGGGTCGGCAGGTGATCACTCAAACTTCCGATGATGGCATGCAGAAGAGGCCAGCGCTGTTCAAACTTAACAGCCACAAAAGATTTTATGAATATCCAAATCCGCCGCGTGTATCCGTGTATCTACAGATTTATATATATATATATTGATTACAGTATATATATAATTATAATATATATATATATATTGATACTTTATAGATGTGCATTGTTGTAACCCTCAAAAACAATCAAAATAAAAATGACAAACATGCAACCCTTGTACTTCTCCTAACTTCGCTTCTGTTGTTATGAACGTTTCCTTGCCAAGAAGGTTTTCTAAGTTGTCAAAAGTTCCAGAAGGCATTGTTTAGTCATTGTTTAGTTATCTAGAATGCATAACTGGTTGGTATAATGGCTAATATACTGGTTAATAATGGTTAATATGATGGTTATATAATGGTTATATCATGATGGTTAATATAATGGCTGGTTGGTGTTTTTTTGCACATGAATGGATTACGTTCCATTTCATAGATGGGATGTCATCCCAACCCCATTGACGAACTCCATCATTTTCAGAGGGGTAGGTTGAAACCACCAACCAGATTTCTACATGCAGACAGACTCAAGTTCTCGACCGTCATCACGAACTCGCCGCAGCAACGCACCAGTTGCTGCGCTGCGAGGATTGCGGAAGTGGAATGCAAGGACGGTGAATGCTCCAAGTCGGTGAGTCCGGATGCCCTAGAGATTCACCGATGCGTCGCGCCCGAAGCCTGGGAATGACGGTTAGTAGGGGTGACTATCCCCAAATGACCGCAAGATTCAGGTTGGTGAACTATTATAATTTACCCAGCAAAATCCATCATCACATGTTTGATCATGTTTCTGTCTTGGTAATTCAATAGTCTAGTTTAGTTGATGAGATAACTAGTTGGGTTAGCTCCTGGAACATTCCGGGTGTTGCCACTGCCAAATGGCTTTAAAAATGAGGGGCTCATGGTCAGCTTCAAGGGGGGCCCTATGTGAGCCAAGGAGTCAGGGATGGTTGAAATCCCTATGAAACGGTAAACCACAAAAGAGGCCAGCAAGTCTTTAGAAAAGGTGGTGTGGTCCATTTTCCCAGGCAAAACCTGTAGATTGTTTGATGTTTTTTGATGTGTTTCAACCTCCTTTTGTTTTGCTCAAGCCCCTCATGAGTGGTTGTAATTTATTTATACCCGATGAAGTGTTTCGGTGGCAGATGAGGCCAATTCTTTGCGCGGTCCTCAGGGAATGCACATCTTTTTTTCGGCAGTCCGCGTGGCCAGATGGACTTAAAACTTCGAGATGCAATTTGGATCTTAGCAAAATCATCAAGCCATGTGATTTTTCAAGCATGTTCATCTAATTTTAAATGGCTGAGGCTTACTTGGATTTGTTGGATTGGTGGTTTCGAACATGTTTTATTGTTTCCATATATTGGCAATAATAACCCCAACTGACTTTCATATTTTTCAGATGGGTAGGTCAACCGCCAACCAGAACTATTATTTATACTATATAACGATTATTGATTATGATTCTTATTATATATTATTATCATGTAATATTATTGGCTAGATGATGAGATAATCATGGATGGTGATTATTAACCAACAATATCGGGATACAAATACTGGATAACAACGGATAAACATATCATAAATAGTGGATAATGGATAATAATGGATAATAATGGGATAATAATGGGATAATAATGGGATAATCATGGGATAATCATGGGATAATCATATCAAGTATTACTGCTAACCAACCATCAATATGCTCATTAACCCTACGGCCCTCCAGCTTCACCAAGGCTCCCTCGGGATTTTTCGGGGGGATGCCCAGCATGCCTCGCATCCCGGAGCGTCGGGCAGCCCAGGGGATATTTGGGGGGGTCCTAAGTCATGGGGGTATCCCAAAATGGAGGGTTTACAATGGAAAATCCTCTTAAAATGAAAGATGTAGCCGGGTACCCCCATGTTAGCAAACCTCCATTTTGAGGCTATGGTTTCAGCATGGAATAAAGGAACACACATGAGAGATCAGAAAACCTGCTTAATTTGAGTTGAATTTACTTAGTTGCAGGCGTGTGGAATAGTGAATGTGGGAAAGATGAGAGTGGGATGGTGCGAAAGAAACGACTTCAAAAACGCTGAAGATCCTTCAGGGCTTGCAGCTTGCAATCTGCACTTCTCTCAATGGTAATGAAGCAAGTGATCAGCAAGGTAGTGCCCCTCCAGTGTTTGTTGGTTTATAAATGTTTATAACCCCCATGAAAACGAGTTGGACATATCTACCATAAAGCCAACACTTATGTTAGTGAACTACTGTTTAAGAAAAAAGGTAACAACCTGGGGCACCCCCAATCGCAGGACCCCCCAACTCGCAGAAGTTCCACAGATGGCCTCGACGGGCAGGTTTCCGCATGATGCCCCTCCCGATGCCATCGAACTTGCACGAGCGGATGCCAATGGTCATGGGTTGTTGGATGCCCAGTTGGAAGCTGCAGGAAAACCATGGTTTATGGTACAGGATGTGGCCATAAACCTGGATTTTTTACTATATCATATTAGGAGTTCCAAAAAGATCGATGCCGAGAGAGCGACCTTTTGGACCTGTCGGTTTCCAGAAATGTGTCGGTTTCTGTTGGTTTCAATATGTTTCGATATGAAATTTGAAATGCTTAAGGTTCAGAGTCACAGAACTTTGGCGACTTTGCAAGTCAACCTCTTGTTTTATGTCCATGGCTACCGATTGGACCGATTCGAATGTGCCACATTGGCACCTTCTGACTTGGCTCAGGCATGCACAAGATGCACGACCACATGCACCACATGATCGTCCGAATACACAACTCCATGCCCCAGATGGGGTGCGCCATTTGGGTTGCTGCCTGTTGGTCTTGAGATAGGAAATATACTCTACAACGGGTGATTAACTGGTGCTATATCATTGGAGCGCACCCTCCATTTAAAAAAAAGGTAACTGGTTGGTGGTTTGGAATATAAATTTTATGTTTCCATATATATTGGGAATGTCATGATCCCAATTGACGAACTCTATCATTTTTCAGAGGGGTAGGTGGCTCAACCACCAACCAGGTGGGCGATGACCTCTGGATGATTTTCCAGGATTTTGACGGACGCTTTCCACCGAACTTTTGATCATGAATCGTCCTGAGTGATCCATTTTTCAGCCCGAAAAGCCCGAATGTTCAGTGGTCAGTCTTACCATGTATCCAAAAAGACTCAAAAAAAAAATAGCCACTGGATAAGACAAATATGTGAAACAATATTATTTACCAGTGTAATCGTGGTAAGACTTAAATGATGTGAACCATGTTTTTATTTACCCTTTGGATCCCACTGGTGTCCGTTTGACTCCTGGGCCACCCAATTTTGTGCGGTCACTGAACGTCAGGGTGGCGCTTGATGTTCGATCCACTTTTCAGGGATGGATAGATGTCACATGTTGAAGATTTCACGCCGCCCTTCAGACATCATCAGAGATTAATTAAGATACCTGAGTCATCAACACCCACATCCCCTGGATAATATCCTTCTTTTGTTGCTGAAATGGTACCCTTGACACCATGTTATTGCCCTTCATTTCATGGATTGAAATCACAAATTTACATGAAAATATATCCAGAACACTTGCAAGATCAGCGCTCGATTCGATCAATTCTCATTTTTTGCGACTTCTCTCACTTACAACCATCAAACAACCATATCAATTCTCAACATTTCACAAAACCATCTCAACCCCAGATGTTCGCATCCCTTACCCTCCGGCAATCCAACGTGGCAATTAAACATCCAGCATTTCTAGATGATTTTCCCAGCTATAAACCTCCATGGCTAGTTAAGGGATTTTCCAGCCACGTATGATGACGCCAAGAGGGTGTTTACCCTTCTTTAATCGCTTTGCCATTATTCACCATCATCAACTATATATGATTAACGCATAATTATATAGTATTATTTTAGTTATATAATTATATATGAATCAATATGATATATATTTATACATTATATATTATATTATATATATTGTATATATATATATATCATATTAATTCATATATAATTATATATATTATTATATTATATATTATATTATATATATATATTGTCTACATATATTATATATATTTATTATTCACCATTCACCAGGATGAAATCCCATAGGATCATACATCGGCTCCAGGCGCTCCGGTCACTTCCTGGCCCCTCGCGTGATCATCGTCGATGAGCCGGCAGGGCGGGCTGTGGGGTTTACTCCGTTCGAAGCAACGAGAAAACGGGTCCATGGTTGCCATGGTCCATGAGAAATGCGCAAAAATCCCATTGGATATTATGGTAGATACCTATGGTTTAATGGAGGTTTAATGGGGTTTAATGGGATGTAGTGAAAATTAATGATATACCCTCTGGTAATTTAACGTAGCTATTGAAAATGACCATTTATAGTGGATTTTCCCATTAAAAATGGTGATTTTCCATAGCTATGTTAGTTTACCAGAGGGTAACATTGTCCAAGTTTTCTTGGTGAAGTTATGTTAGTTATGGAAAAAGAAGTATGGCACTAATTAAGAATAAACAGAAATCAGAGAAAGTCAGAAGAACTGTGAGATTTCGGAGTTTCCACAGATTCCCTTCAGAACAGCACGTCATCAAACATCAGCCACAGATCACGCAGGTGCCTCCTGCTGCAGCAGTAATGCAGGTTTCACCCGATTTCAAGAAGGCTGGGTGTCCCAATGTCACGTGCAGAGTGGCTCTGTTTGAGTTCGTTGGTTCTGGGTTTCTCATGGTTTCTCAAAAGTTGCATGTACAGAGTAAAACCATGTAAAAACATGAATTAGACACAAGGTTCGGGTCATCTACAGTATTTGACTGTCCTCCTCGAGTGTTCTTGGCTTTACTTTGACAGCCACATCTGGAGTGGAATGGAATGATCAGACTTGTTTATTCCCTTCCAAATGGGAAGACCCAATGTCCTGTCCAATCTGTCCTTGTTTGCATGACAGATTTCGGACGTAGATATGGTAGATTGGGAACTTAAAGTGAAGTCCCCGAGAATGTGATTTTAGCAATTTTAGAGGTAGTCTCCAAATTCCTCCAATATGGAATTGTACTTTTCAGGGGTTCGAGTGCAGGCGCCCCTCGAAGACCGCTTCGACATCTTTGCTTCCTGGTTGCACCTGTGCGGATTCATTGCTACCAATCCATATCAATCCATAGCATCCGCGAATGGTTAATGAGTTCCTAGAATTGAATTTCCCAGACCTGCCTCCAAAAAATTAGAATTTGCTGAGGCATCTTTGCCGGAACGAAGACCTGACTTGATCAAAGAAATTCCAAGTTCCACCTCTGGTGATGCGACCCCGATATGGAGGCTTTTTCCTACAGCTTGTAGCCCACATATTCCATTTTTTTGGGTGCTTTTTCCATGGAACAAACCATCCAGCCATTGGAGTAGCCATTTAAATCATCCGTTTAAATATGATGTTCCATGAAATAAACTATCCAATCTCCAGCTATTGGAGTACCCCCAGCCATTAGGAAACCACCAGCCAGGCAAGTCTCATTGAGAAATATCCCCGGCTCTGGCCCATTGCAAGGTGGGCCTGGCGCTGGGTCTTCCAGCCATCCTCTTGGTGACTTTGATCCTGGAAAGGATCTACAGGCGGAGCGAAGTTGTTCTTGAACCAAAATGTTGATATTTAGATGGGTTGACTATGGTTAAGTGCAGGGTTAACTAGGGTTAAGTTGACAAGTTGGGTGTATGGACTGTATGGATGTTTACAAACTTATAAACTAAGTATAACCAATTAACTTGTCACAGCTGAAGGGTAGCACCCCTGGGTCAACAGATTGACCAAGTCAGGAAATTTGTTGAAGCCTAATGATGACACCAATTTTTGCGACGCCTAAAATTGAAGTGTGTCCAAGCATATCATCATTTCTTTGGCAAAAGCCGCATGTCTACAGTTTTCTTTGTGTATTAATGCCATTTATTTCGTTGGTTGGAATCTCGCTATGTACTCTTTTACTGAAGCGACAGAAATTGTTGACAGAATCAGTCAAAACCACAATTTCTGGTTGGTGGTTTGGAACATGTTTTTTTTGACTTTCCATATATTGGGAATTTCATCATCCCAACTGACTCATATTTTTCAAGATGGTTAAAATCACCAACCAGGTATCACTATAATACCCATATGATCCATGGTGCTGGTATATTTACCTACAAAACTGGGTGATTTTGTTGGTAAACTAACATTCACTGGTAATTAGCTCTACGGCTTGGACAATTCCGGTGTTTTCGGTGAGGACTTCCCCAACGAAACCTCTCGGAGAGTCGTTGGGAACTGGGGATCCAAAGCAGGTGTTGCTTTGGCAAGGCACCGGCGCGTGAGCGGCCCTTGCAGGACAGGGGAAGATTTGGGGTTGTTTATGGAGATGACCGTGCATTTTGGTCTGGCTGCGTGTCAAACAGAACTTCAAAATAGATACTTTTCCATCCAAATTGTGGTTTGAAGTGATCTTTGCCAAATTACTGGGTCATACTGGGTCCATGTTACCACTGAATCTTTGTCAAATTGTGTAACTGTGCAACAGTAGCACCAAGGTCTTGGGCCCCATCAGGAGCTTGGCGCCCCATTGGCACCAGAGGAGCAGGCAGAACTTGGCGCAGGCAGGGCGTTGAACTTGGCACAGAAGCGTTGAACCATTCAAAGATACAGGGAAGTGCACCAGTTCGTTTGCTAAGTTAGTTTATAACATGTTCCAACATGGAATAACTAGGCGTGGGGGTTGTATCGAACTGGTGAATGGGGATTATAAGCCAGTTTATAGCTGTAGGGGAAAGTACTGAGATGGACAGTAATTACTTCAATAATGGGGATTGTAAATGAGAACAAAAAGGGAATACAATGGGGACCAATGGTGGTGCCCCGGTTTGTTTGGTCACTTGGTTTGTAACTAGGCTAACGTTCGGGTCTATGGTAATCGAACTAGTTCATGTACAGTAGTTAATGGGATATAATGGGGTATATGGGGTTACAAACGAACTTATAACCGGGGACCACTTTGTAGGGGTTGAAACAACAAGAGATTGGGTTACAGGCAGCAACAATATGTTTGAACAATCATCAGGAAATTTGTATAGATTTAACCAACCAAAACATTGGGGTTTCAGGGGTGTTTGGGGTTAAAACCTTAAACAATGTGCACGGGTGGGGATAAAACAAAAACAGAATGGTTTTGAATGAAGTTGATAGGGCCATTTAGCGAGCATTTGAATGTATATTGTACATATTATATTGTATATACATATACAGTCAATCTGCAGTCAATAAAATGACACTCTCATAACACAGTACAAGCACCCAACACGTCATGCCCTTGCCGCAGGCCCTCTCAACTACGAACCACGGGTGCAGGTGGGAACTACTGAATCTGAGGCTCGATTACATAGGCCTTCTTCAAATCTTACATAGACCTCAAATAGGGTTGGTTTCTGTGACAGAAGCCTTAAGATTTACATAAACTTGACATTTACATTGAATTATATGAACTATATCAAAACATAGACATATTAAATCAAGCAACTGAGATAAACATTGATAAACATGAAATCATACGAAACCTGAAATCAGCCAGCGATCGCAGGTCCAGGTCGCCCCAGTGATTGCCAGCGTGGAAAAGACGCCAACGACGCCAACTCAGGCGGCTGTTTGTCTAAGGTGGTTCGAGGGAAAACTTTAATGGATTTAACTTGATTATCAAAAATATTCCAGGGTATCAACTAGGCTATGGAATATTTTTTTGGAATAATTGTAGGAATGGGAAGACCATAATTACATAAAACACATATAGGTTAAATAAATCAGTGGATATGGGGATGTTACTGAGGATATGTTTGGATTGAAATGAACATGATTTGACCAAACAGCATGGGGATGTTACTGAGGAAACCAATGACTATGAGGATTGAAGATAAGTTTAAATATAATGAGGGTATGTACAGTTCCTGTACAGTAACTTTCCGTGGTGAAGGCTTGGTGAACATGGGAATCATTCATTGGGAACGATTCCGATATATCATTCGCTTCCCCGATCATCCGCAGACAATTAGGTAGACAATCGAACAGTAAAAATTGAGCTGATTGATGTTCTGGCATGGAGGCTGGCTCAACGACCGTCCTTTGGTGATCGGTTCATATCGGTTCCATATCCGCCAGGCATACCTGTTCAAGCTGTATGAGCGGGCCGCTCACAACAACGAGAAGAAGGCCACATGAATCATGAAGAAACTGGTTCATCTTGGTGAATGTGTGGTCCGTAAGTGGTCTTTCTTGCAATTGGAGAATGTGATACCCAGCTAACCAAACAAACATAAACGAACTATTTTGGTGTGTATGTAGGGTTGGCCATGCATAACCTAACGTTGTGAGTTGTGAGTGCAAACTAAGGTTTGCTAAGATTTTATCTTCCGTAAAAATCCTAGGCTGGAATGACCCAACATTTATGACAGGCACGGTATGTCGTGAGTACATCGCATTGGCCATATAGTTAAGCGCATGTTAAACAGCATCATTTGATGGTCAACCCAACCCAGCAGAGATGTTGCATAATCCGCGTGGGGTTTCAGTTCCTGTTGAAGTGACTGCAGTTATTTTTCCCCATCTCCTGTCCTTTTTCATACAGAAAGAACGCCCAAATTGTGGCAACAGACCACGCACTTGGCCCGGCTGAGTTTCGACTTGACGAGAAACAAAAAGATGGACAGATGGACAGGTTGATACGTAGAGATACTATGACAAGACGACAAGTAAAAGAAAGATATGTGCAAAGACAAATTCAAAGAACACGCATTATAAAACGGAGGAGGCACCGCTAGAACACATCAGATAGGAAAACTCAAAAAAAGAACAGCAATCCAAGTCCGTGCTTGGATCATTAAAACGAGTAGCTGCTTTCTGTAGTCATTTTCACGTATTTTCCATAGAGAGTTGGACAGGCTAAGCTATGAAATTTGGAGACGCTAAAACCCCCAACAAAAAAAACGTGTGTAGGTTAAAACCAAGTTATATGGGGCATATGGGCATACATAATGCCTACGGGCCTACCGTATGCTGACCTGAAAATCTATCAACATACCATGGGATACATAATCCCAGCTATTGGTGAAAGGAACATGTCGTTTGAAGCCAATGCTTTTCTGGGTAAATCCACATTTACCAGGCCTGATCTCCAGAAGTGGTTGAAGAAAGCATGCACAGGAACCTCCGTATATGTAAGTGTGGTAGAAAAAAAGTGTTCCCAGAGATTTCCAGTGTTCGATTGTCTACCTTTTTTTATTTTTACATCAACAACTGTATAAGATTGATTGATTAGGTTTGATCATATACACATGTATAAATAATCATGTATATATGATTATATATGCATATATATATACATATATATATATATGTATTTATCTTGAAGTAGATAGAATATAAGTGGTGTATGTTTGAAATTTCCATATTATATCTACTCCAGGATGACTATATATATCAAATAAATTAGCCCCATGATATACATATATATATATTATAGAATCCTGATATGACTATATCATAGTCATGGACCTATTCATTTTCTTGGCAGGTGGCTCAAGCTGTGCTTTTGGACGTCTATGCCAAGGCACTGCAGCGAGTGCAGTGAGGCGCAACCATGGCATTGGGAATTCCATATGGAGTTGTTGGAGTTTCTTTTTTTTGTGAGGAAATCATCTATAAATGGGATAATTTAACATATCCCATAGGATCCATGTATGCTATATATGGTAACATTTACCATCAATATACCCCAAATGTTAGCATATATACCATACATGGATCCTATGGGTATATGGATACAATTGTCAATCATGATGATTATTCTGATTTAAGGATGATAGTTTGCATCACATAATATGTTTGACGATCGTATGCATGTAATTATGAGTGATATATATATATATATACTATTGTTATCATTGTCGAAATATCGTCAACGTACCTTTGGACCCTTCTTGTTTCCTTAAAATTGGATTTTACTCCCATGTGTAATTTTTAAACCAATTAGCATGAAATTAGCTACTGCAATGATCCCTGATATTGGCAAAGCTGGTGCCAATCATTTACTAACTTCCGCGATCATCCAATACACCCTGAAATATGGGTATGGATCAATACCTATTAATACCATTTTTAGGGGGATGAACATCCATTTGCCAGCTATTTTGATGTTCACCAGGGGTACAAGGTTTTGACACACTGCCATATGTCATATTTTACTCATAAGCACGTTGATACTTTGACATATCATGACACATCCTAGTTTCGGCTCAATGAGTCGCAACTCCAGTGGGAGCGGAACAGTTTCAGCTAGGCATCCCAGCCCCAGCTAGGCATGTTAGGAGAAAAACCCTTAGGATTCGACCCAAAAGTTGACCCACAAATAGATGGTTTAGAAACCAACCCAAAAAAAACCTTATAAACGTTGCTGTTGGTTAATAGACCCTATGTAAACTCCATGGCCCTTTCAAAGCCCATGGATTCGTCTCGACTCACCATGACAGGGCGCTGACAGTGACCATGCCCATCCTTTTGTGCCCCACGTTGGGGGCTGCGAACCCGCGGGCCGAGCTGATGGCACTGGGGGTTTTCAACGATGTGGATCATCAGCATATTGTTTACATAGTTGATATTGATGCGATTGAATATGTACACTACTTTTTTTTTACTGCATTCATAAACTTGTGTGTGTGTGTGTCTGTTTATATATATATATAATATAGTTATCACTTCTGTCTCCGTTATTGTGTTCTATGTTTTTGTCTATCTATGTTGTAGATCTGTCTGTTGTACCGAATTACATTTTTTTGATACACGTGCACCGCATACTGGATATTCTATGATGTGGACCATCATTGACCATCATTCAAAACACAAGTAAATAGGAAATGCCGACAGTCACACCAAACTGGATTTACTTCAGATTGACATAACCCATATGCAACCCATGGTGCTGGAATATGAATCCCAACATTTGCCCGAACAAAATCACCCAGTTTTGTAGGTAAATATACCAGCACCATGGAGCATATGGGTAATATCAGATGGTATGGTTTGTCGTCCTCACTTCTTCCAGATGTGAGCAATGCAAAAAAAGCCTGTCTTGGTGGTTGGATGCTGTGTTGTTCTCACTGGTTTAAAGGAGATTATAATCCGCTGTAGGCACCTATGGGCTTTTTGCTAACCATAGAGCTGATGATTTTAAGCTCATTGCACATCTACTTACAAAATTACCTTCACCCTCATTAGGTACCACACACAAACAAACGAGCTGTCACATACCCAATTGGGGCAAGATACGTGTTTTTGAGAGCAAATAGATGTAAGCATAGGTCTATGTGTACAAACGTTTATATAGATTCTACAAACTTACCCTACCCTTTCTAAAAGCACTTGCTTCACGACATGTTTTGAGAGACCTCGAAGCCCACGTGCCACTGAACGCGCGAAGCTGCGTCTTTGGACTTGGCGGTTGGTCTGGAGGAATTCACCTTCACCATGGATTTCACGGCAAAAATGGGGGTTACCCTCTGGTAAACTAACATAGCTATGGAAAATCACCATTTTTAATGGGTAAATCCACATTTTTTAAATGGCAATGTTCAATAGTTTTTTGTATGTTTACCAGAGGGTATTCACATCTAGTGCCGAGCAAGAATCTGCAAAAATGGAATTTGAGCCAGCAGACATTCAACAGATTCAAACAATGATGACTTTTCTTCGCAGCCGAACATGGCAGCCCATGCCCCACAGGATGGTTCAGCTTGTGGAAGTTCATCGAATTGATGGCCAAGCGAATCAGGGAATTTATCATGATCTCTTGAAAGGCAAGTCTGTACTCTGTACACTAAGAATAGATGAGACTAGTTATGCAGCATAGTAATAATAATAACGATAATGATACATATATATATATATATGTTGTGTACGTCCAACTTGGGATATGTCTGTTTGCCCACATGAAATTCTATATAGCTCCACCTTTGGCGGCCTTTGGCGCCTTAAAAGGTCCTAGCGCTCCACTTCAGGTAAAGGCTGGATCCTCAATTTGTCAACAAGAAAAACATCGTATCAGGTGTCATCAAACGTGGGAAATCGCCCCCTTTTTCGTTGGCTGATTCTTCCCAGCCACGGCCAGGACATGATGGTCAATTCAGCATGGACAACCTATATTATATATATATACACATATATATATACATATATATATATGGACAACTATGGTTTATAGATGTTTATAGTACTTATAACATATAACTATAGTGAAAATATCCTGATTGGTCGTGACTGGAACCATGGAATGGATTATGACTTTCCATTTAGTTGGGAATGGAAAATCATCCCAACTGACGAACTCATATTTTTCAGAGGGGTTGAAACCACCAACCAGTATTATATATATATATGGTTGAAGCAGCAGTATGAAACATCATGAAACATGTGATGATTGTGACGGTGTTTATATATCATTATCAATATATCGAGGGTTTTTAAGGGTACCCCCCCAATGGTACGTCCCACCGGGAAGCAACGGGTTGTTCGCCCCATTCATAAGGGTCGAGCGGGGTTATGAATGGTTATGTACACCCCTCAGCATCAAAAACTGCGGCAGGAGACTAGTTTCTTGGCTGGGTTTGTCTATAAAGGTAGGGTACCCCCAAACCCCGTGGTTTCGAAAGTCAGTTTTCCCCATTAAGTGTTCTGACACACTCACATGTGCAAGGCTGACTTCATCTGACTGTAGTGTATGCCTCGCAATTCACTTCGGATCAACCGCCATATCTTCCTGTGCACGATGCCGGCATGGTGCGTGGATGGTGCATGAACAACGAACAACACCAGTAGTTTGTAATAGTTTGTAATTTATTGTAATTTCTCATTTCTTTTTTGCTGTTTCTTTGCTTTTTTGTTATTCGGTAGCTTGTGCTTTGATGTTTCTCTGGGTTCCTCTTTTTGCTCTGCTGCTTCCCGCTGTTCTGCTTCTTTGCTTTTCTGTTTTTCTGTCGTTTTGCTTTTCTGCCTGCGTAACTGCTTCTTTGTTGTTTTGCCGTTCTGCTTCTGTACGTTACCACTTCACTGCTTTGTCGTTCTCTTTTTTGCTTTTTTTGTTTCTTTGCTTTTCTGCTTGTCTCATTTTCGTGCTGTTTGCTTTTTTGCTTGTTCATGTGTTTGTTGTTGTTTTCCTGGATGTTCTTTCTTTGCAAACCACACACAACCTATGGTATGTTTTCCTCATATTATGGCCGCAAATAATTGGTCAATATGTGTCATGAGTTGCAATTTCCAAGATGCAAATTGTTGCGAATAGCTCGCGACTCGCAATTTCCAGGCTGAAGCACTTCAACGATACCCAATTTGCCGAAGGAATGCGGGAAAAAAACAATTGAGGTTGAGATTTGAAAATCGGTTGGTCATTGCTGCAGGAGATATTTTCTATTTTTGAACCTCTGTTTGCTGTAAATATCGTGCGACATGAGAAGTTCCAAAATGCTGTAGCTGCAAGCTAAACAGAATTTTGAAAAACATACAGTATCCCTATATAAACAGTACCGGAGGAAAACCAGATTCCGCACACCTACTACACGGGTTGACCTGTCTAGACAGGCACCCTCTCACTCAGCTCAAGTCTTGTTCAACTTTCCTGTGCGGCCTCCTTAGATATACCACCAAATACTGCAGAATGAAATCGCTCATGTGCCGATTCTCGCTCATGTGCCAATTCTCACGCACATCATTGGCAGATTGTTAATTCAGGAGCGGTCTCATGTACAGCACTCCAGTTGCTGACATGTCACATCTTCAGATTCCCTTTTGGTATCCAAAGAAGGTCAAACACATCCAAACATACAAAGTTGGGCCCCCCCAAACGGTAGCTAAGTTGGTGAATATAACTTCCATAACTATAGTGTATGATACTTATTACATCTTACTACTGTGATATCCAGAAAGGGATCCATAGGAATCCACAGGGTCTATAAGTTCGCCAACACACATCACAGGCTGATCATCACAGGGTCATCGCTCCACAAGTTTTCCATCGACTCGCGGAGCTTATGCAGGGAACTAGTATATACTTGAGCCATTCCAGGAATAGCCATTGAATAGCCAGTATTCTTCGTAGGTCTCAATTTCTTGTTATAATCCGCTTCACAAGTGAGTTCTAAGCCCCTGAACTAATTACTCATCTGTTGACATGATCAGCTTAGTGCATTCCGGCCCCTTTCCAAGACCAGTCCTGAGAGCACGGCGCCGTATTCCTTGACAGAGCCCACCTGCAGCTGGACCCAGCAAAAAGAGATGGGCCATGATGGGCCACAAAATGTACCCCGCATTTTTTTTTTGGGTGCTTAGAATCCCCATATAGTAGATATGATAGAAACCACATACATCAACACTAGCTATTGGAGAAACTAACTTCGCTAACGAACTGGGGCACTACCCTGCACCTCGGTTTTTGGAACCAGAAACTTCACCAGAAACTGACAAAAACTGTGCTTTGATGATTTTTAAGCCTGGTTTCTAGCTTGGAACCCAAGGGACATTGGATGTTTTTTTTCCCTATCCAGGTTGTGGTGGTTCAATCCAAGTATGTGTTGACGAACTTAT